CAGGGTGGGGTGAGAAGGTGGAATTTGGTCTATAGTCTGTTTGGTGCTGACATGGAAATGTGACTTTAGGCATCTGCCATTTTTCTGTGCTTGTATTGTTTTTTAGGTGCCTAGTCACCTGGGCCCAGGTCACTGCTTGTAGGCTGAGGCAGCACGAAGCCCTCTCTTGTTTTAAAAGGGTCAGAGAGCACCGTCTCCTAGTTGTGAGCTTTACTAAGTGGAAGGTGAAATTATTGAGAGCTGAACAGCAGGTGCTGGGAGAGAGAAACTACAAGTGGCAGGAACCCTCTCAGGGTAAAGCCTGTCACCGCTGGCGATTGGCCTCAAGAGGACAGCAAGCCCTGCGCCTAGGATCTGTGGCTACTGTAAAACAGGTAAGAAAAGGTGAAGGTCCCTATGAGTCAGTTTTTCGTAACTGCCTGTTCTCTCATGAAGACCTCAGTGAGTCATTAAGTACTGAGATACAGTGACAAGGCTTTGTATAAAAACCTGGTTTGACTCATGATGACTGCTTAGTCCCTGCCTTGAAATTCTTTACAGACTGTGCACACAACTTCATCACCATAATCTGGCACTGATTGCAGCAACCATCTGGAGCACAGCAATAAGGAATGGGGACGTTTTGACCAGAGAGATGAGAGCACTCCTTCCTCTCTGCTCAAAGATGAGATGGGATAATCGCTGTCCCTGCAGAGTAGAGTGAGCTGTCAGAGTTGCAGCTTTTTTCAAAAGACTCACAGCTAGCAAACCACAAAGAGGTCGATTGATTTGGAAGGGCTGAGTCATTCCTGCTGGGATCTCATCTGTGCAGTTTTCAGCCTGGGGTCTAGCACATTAAACTACCTGCAGGGATATGAACATAAATGTATCTCTAAGGCTAGTTTGTGTATGTGCTGTCTGTGCGCCCTGTGTTTAGTCGTGGCTGCAGCTGTGTCATTTCTGTTTGCAGGCCTGCAACTACTGGACAAAAGCAGCTGCCTTTTCCCAGTGCTTACGGCAGTGCAGTACCCTGATAGGTGCTAGGAAGAGCAGGAAGATGTCTCTGTCTCGGTCCATGAGTAAGAAGATGTGCCCTCCTCTCTTTGTTTCATGGGGCCATGTGGGGAGTGTGAGTGAGGAGGGAAGAGGAGTAGTGTTTGCCAGCCTGATGACTGGGATTCCTCTGTGGAGTAGGTGCCCATGGCAGTCAAACTCTGACTGTGGGTTGCTCCTGTGTTCAGGAGCCAAAGGACTAAGGGCTCATGGCAGCTTTGATCTCTCCCTCTCTAGCTCTGAGTTTAGCTCCTGTGTGATTCCTCTTTTCTTTCCTAGAAAACAGAAGAGGCAGAGAAAAAGATTCAGCACCAGCTGCCCCTCTTGGGCTTTTTCCCAGTGCTATTCACCGCTGGCTGGTGATCTATAGAAACCAAAACAGGGCTGAAAGGCTGCTGTTCCCCCACCCAGTAGAGAGACCTGGTGTGGTAGGACCCTCTCCTGCACATGCAAGCATCCAGGAGAACAAAGCAGAGGTGGACTTGGAGGAGTGGGATGAGAAGTGGCTTGGGTAAGTGGAATGGAGGGCTCTGGGCTTCCTCTTGTTGCTGCCATCAGGGAAGGACTCCCTTGTAGGGCTGTTGAGCTGATAAAGCTTATTTTGCCCACTTACCTGTAGGAGGAAGTATCTGAGGTGGTGGCATCACACAGTGATACTTCGCCGGTGCCGGCGTGACAGGAGACTGTGCCGTCTAGCAAGGGGATGGCATCAGTGGAGAGAAGCCAGCAGGGTGGCAATACTGGCTCAGGTGTTGGTGAGTGTCTGGTACTGCTACCAGGGTGGCAGTGATGGGCAACCCTGCTCTGCTTGCAGCCTCACATATGTCCTGGGAGATGAGACCTGGGGATTTAACAAGTACCAGACTGCACCAGAAATCCTGGTTTGCTGCTGTGGCTACTTTTTCCATCTTCCTCTTTGAAATGCCAGCATGGCGGACTGGCATAGCCACATATTTAGTTGTGCTTTGCCCCATCTTACCAATGGGAAGCTGAGACAGGGTGATTTGTATAGATTGTCTGTAGTCTGTGCAAAAAGTTCATAGCAAGCATTACAGTCTTTGTCCTCATCTGTGTTCCTGATACATCCCTCTGGTGTCTGCAGCCTACCAAGAGCTGTCATTTGGCTTCCCCTTCTGCTCAGGCATAGCCATCTACGGAACAGACCCATGTTCTGTCTGGCTTCTTGGGCGTTAGCTGTGTGAGATGTGCTCTGACCTGCCCATGGGACAAGATGACGCATGTATAACGAGTGCATCCATAGTCTCTGAGGAGCTGTGCCAGAGCACTGATGGGGCACTGTCCTTTCCCCCAGGGTACTGTGACTTAATTAGTCACAATATTTGCAGGAGACAGTAGTTCAGCAAGGGCTTTGTTAGTAGTCCGCTTTGTTCATTACCAATGCAAAGTCATTCAAGAGGGACCCGGGAAAGGAACTGGAAGCAAGGTGGGAGTAGAGGGAAGTGAGGTAGTTTGCCTGCCAGAGCCCAAATAATCTGTGTATGGTCTCTTTTTCCTGGCAGGACCAGCAGCGGCTGATAGAAAAGGCCTGGAGGGTGTGGAGACGACGACATTTGCAAAGCTGTGTAGTGCAGAATTTTCTGGAGGAGGAAGCCAGGAGCCTACTATCTCAGGTTAGCATTTATGACTACTTTAATTCTGTGGACCTCAGTGAACCAAAAAGCACCCCAAAAGGACAACTGGTGTTCTCTGTATCTCCCTGCACAAAGTGCACTTGCTTAGGGAGAAGCTGAATACATCAAGGAGTGGGACTTGCCAGGGAAATAGCTTCCAGCTTTATATGGGTTCATCTTTAGGTGTTTTTCAAAGCTTTGCGTCAGTGGTTAATTTCCCTGATGTATGCCCCCTTCCCCACCACTACCAGAGATGTTAATCCACTAATCCTCTGCCTCTCAAGAGCCCACTCAGGGAAGAAACAGGCTCCACATTGGTGCAGGAGGACTGTGCTGACTTGCACCCGGGCGCAGGCATATTGCTGGAAATTTAAGCAAGCAGGCAAACAAAGCCTTAGCGCTCAAATAGCCAGTTTGCTCCTCTGCCTGCTTCCCAAAGATCCATGGAGGATTTGGTCCTCCTTTAACGAGATGAGAGCAAGTAGTGAAATTAGAGGGTAGAGGGGACATTGGTCTTCTTTTCTCACATTGATTTGTACTCTGCACTTCACTTACTGGCTACAGGAACATAGGGGAGACTGGGAAGGGCTCTGAGAGAATGGTGGGGCAGTTGGTATAGCCATTGCTAGAGGAAAAGCTGTGTTCGTAGGTACTGTGAGGGTGGCTGCAACCCCTCAAGGGTAACCTGAGTGTTTCACTTGTCCACTTTACTATTTAAGGCTTTTGGAAGGTGGCGCCAGCTAACAGCATTCCAGCTCAAGGACAAAGGACGCTGCTGAATGGTGGGGGCCTGTCTGCAGCTGCTGCTCATTTCAGGACACGTGGAGGATACAGCTGGCTGTCATAACAAAGAGCCGGTCCTGTGCAAATCAAGAAAACCAATGTTCTGCTCATGTGATAAAAGCAGTGCTGCAGGCCAGAAGCACGATAGCCAAAGGACAACCAGGAAGAGATGGTACCTAGTGAAAGTTCTTTAAGGGACTGATATCCTACCTCCCTAGAGGCACAAATTTGAGAAGTTATTCCCTTTTGTTGTGAGGTTGCATTCCCTTCTCTGGACACCGATTTTGCTGGAGTTCTGATTAAAGATAAAAAAACGCCTTATAGGCTCTCCCTTTACTCAGTGCTTTTTCCTGGACAGTTTAGTGTCACACAGGGGAGTAAGTAAATACATCAGTCTTAGAGATGAGCAGGAGTCTGCCTGTGCAAACGCTACATCCTGTTGATTCCAAAGTCTGGACTGTCCTTGGTAGGTGTGAACACAGGTCTTGATTTTTAGATTTGGCTCTTTCCCTGGCTGGGGGGAGTTCCCACATGGCTCCTACCTCCTCCCCCTATCTAGGTCCATCAGCTCTTCATTAAGCCTTCCAGTGGGTGGCCAACCTCTTGACTGCTTCCTGCTGGTTCCTTTCTGTGCTGAATGGGCTAGGGATGAAGAAACCTGCTGGGAACAGCTGAGCACCAAAAGCTTTGCTGAGGCAAGACAGGCGTGTCTGACCCCCAACCTTCCCATTACTTGCTTCTGTGATTGATGCCCTGTAATTACCCTGGATATATGAGCCCAGTCTCAGACAGCTGTAATGAGAGGGTCTGAAGAATCTGGAAAAGGCTTTTCTTCCTTGCTTGTTTGAAAGAGATGCTCACAGCGTGGCAGGGATCTCAAAATTCCACTGGGAACTGCCCCAAGGTCTTGTTTTCCTACCCTGTGGTAGCTTTGCAGGATTGTTAAGTACACAAAGCAGCCTCTGTAGCTCCCCCAACCCTTTATTTCAACGCTGTGGGGCCTAAGGCTGTTAAGAGTCATTAGGTCAGAAAAGATAGGCTCTCTTTCCCTACAGGCACTGGAAAAGGACCACCACAACTCCTGTGACCTTGCAGAACTGAGCCAAAGGTTGTAGGTGGTTGCTTTTGGTAAATTCTAGGATTTAAGCTTTGGCTGTACTTTACTTAGGGCATGCATTGAAAGGGAAGGCAGAACTGCCTCATAAAACAATTGGTTTTCCTAAAATTTTCCCTTGTGCCAGGCTGATTAGTTTGCTAACAACATGAGTCTTTGCTACTTACAAGAGTATGGCCTAGTACAAGAGACAAGTTGTATTTGTGTATTATATTGTATTTAATCTAAGAAATAGTGCAATTCCTATTCAGTCTCATCCAGAAGTGAGATTCACATATTTATATTAAAAAGAATACAGGAAATATAATAAAAGGAGAAAAGTTAGGGAGAAAATTTGAACCTTCTTCTGGAGTAAGTGCAAAAGAGCCTGATATGATCAGTTATGAAGAAATACATCTTAGGAGTGCAACGTAAAAGCCACTTGAGCTTCTTTTCCAGGTTGGTAACTGCTGAAATAGCATAGGCACTGCTGACAGGAGTGTTTCTGCCCCCAAGGCAGCATTTCTGGCATGAGAAAGTTACCAGAATCCCACTGAGTTTTATCACATTGATGCACAAGAGTTCTCCTGTTACTGTAATCAACATAGCCATGATTAGCACCTCTTCATCCTGCAGAGCTGGCCTTCAAGCTCAGTCTAGAGCCTCAGCTCACAGATTCAGGTAGTTCTGGCTATTGTTCAACAAAAAGTGATCAGGGAGCCTTTGTGTTGGGGATAGAACAGCATGTAGTGGAGGCAGATCAGAGAGCTAGCCTAGTCACTGGATTTAAGAGAGTGTGTTCCACCATCAGCACAGGAGCTGCTTTTTCTCTCTCCGCAGTCAATGGACGGAAGGAGGAAGTAAGGGAGTTGAAGAGGAATTTTCACTGCTGAGTCTGAGTGTTCAACAGCTCAAAAGTATCATCCACAACCTGCCAGAGGCAGTTTTCAAGTGGGAAGTCATTGTCCACCAGGTTGACCAAGTAGTAGTTGTCATGGATGTACTGGATTATCATGCGAGATGGTGACTCTTCTTCATAGAGCTTGGCCCATTGCTCGATCCACAGTGCAAAGGCCTCATCCTGCCAAGGAAAAAAAAAGTGTTGGCATGGTGTAATGCACATGTTAGAGAGCTACATTTTCATATTACTTCAGTTAACACAACCAGTGTTACACATGCCTCGCCAGCCTTCTCAGTAAAAATTGCAAGGAGCCTCGTGCTTTCCAGTCAGTGAGAAGTGCCCAGAGCTGGAGACATGTTTGCAATAAAATGGCTCAATACTGCCCCTGTGCGTGTAAGAGGGGAGGGAGAGCTACTGCCCAGAACTCTGGGGCCCAGTACAGGGAGAGTGGTAGCTGCTAAGCCTCCAGTTACTGGGCTCTTGGTGTCAGAGAAGAGCTCTTGCTGCGAGCAAAGTTCTTCTTACACTGAGGGAGTAGGAAGAGCAATATCTGGACCTCTGCAAGCTAATATCACAACAGTACTCGATTGTGAGAAGTGTCACAGACTAAAAACAAACCAGACGCTCTGAACTTCCAGGGCATCACAGCAATGTATCCAGCAGGAGGGAGGACTCACCTTCCAGGAGAGGAAGCTTACAGGATCCACTACAGTGGGCTGGATGATCTCTCTGCCTGGGAAGATGCCCCAGGTGACAGCATTGGGTTGCAGATCTGGAGCATTGGTGATATTCTGGCCCTGCCAAAGGAAGGAAAACCTTTCTGAAGCAGCTGCTGGAGGAGGGATTGAGTGAGTTGGAACAAGTGCCTTTAGCCTCTCCTTGTTAAGAGATCAGGCAGCTGCTACACATCACAGCTGACTTGCTTCACTTTCCCTTCCCTTGATCAGCCTTCACATCACACTTTCTTCATAGTGATATCTGAATCTTTGATGTTTGCCTCTCTCCCAGGGTGGTGAAAGGAAAGTTTCCTGTAAACAACAGCCTACCTTGACATTGACAATGTGGTAGTTCACTCGCAATTCATACTTCTTCAGCACTTTGAGCAGTGCCGTGACGATCTCACTGGAGGTGAAGAACTCCAGGTATGCCTACAGGGAGGGATAGGGAAGGGCAAAGAAAATAAGAAGAGCCTTTACTCATGGTAGGGCTGGGACACATACAGGCAACCAAGAGAACAGCTGTACAGTCTGGGCTACTTGGAATCCAGGCAGCTTAAGACTTTTATGTCCATTCCCAGAAGGGTGTACTACAGAGGATGCTTGAGCAAAGGGCAGAGCAAATCAGTAAGAGAGCTGGGGCGGGGCGGGAGGAAATTGGGGAAAGCAGAGATAACAGCCCAGGAACAACCAGCTCAGGAAAGCTACAATCTTCCTGGTTTTCACCCACATAAAGAGGCAGGCTGGAATAAGCTCCAGAGAGCGTAACCACAACTGCTGTGCCTGGGAAGCAGTCTGTGCCAGACAGAGTGCTTGGAAGATGCCTTGAGCTTGACCTCTGTTCTGCGTGGTACCCTATGAACAGCAGTGTCCTGCCAAGGCAGCCCAGTCTGGCGGGTGCAGAAGTCAGGGGTCTCAGCTGGGCTCTCCCAAGCACCCTACCATTCCCTGTCCTCATCTTCTGTTCACAAATCTCCCTGTGTGCTTATATAACCTAATTCTGTACTTGCTCCGTGCTTGGCTGCTCCCAACAACGGCTTCCCCTCCTCTCATTTCCTGGCTATTGTGTGAGATGACCAATTTCCCCTCACCTCGGGGGAATTTTTTTCCTTTGAAAACGTAACTGCATTTGCCATCTGCTGGTCTCATGGCTTTAGGGGTTTGGATCCCTTTTGAACAAGGCTGCTTTGTTTCCTAGTATGAGCCACTTGCTTCGCATTTACCTTGATGGGAGATTCCTATCAATCACAGCCATTAGTGGCAAGGCTCTAGGGCCTGAAAATGCATGACAGTAGGAGGCAGGCATGGGCGATAAGGCTGCTTGCAGGCTAGAGAAGGAACCTGGCAGCTGTCTGAACAGCACAGTGGTAGTGCTGTGGAGTGGGGGCAATTCGTGGAGAACTCTGCCTTAGAGAAGGACAGATGGGGAAATTTTTAAATGCCCAGTTACTACCACGAGGAGCTGGACAGTAGAGATACTACTTCATTGATTCCTATCTTATGAAAAACCCGGGTGCTTCCTGCATCACTGAATGGGATCAAATGCAGTGGGCAGGCAGGTGTTTGTACCTAAAACTTCATAGCCCTGCTCTAGAAAGAAATTACCAAGAATTACTTGCTGAGGGTAAAAACAAGAAACTATAGATGTCTTGAGGTGGGGGAAAACAGCTATGAAGTAAGCCATAGAGATGACACAGTCTCTCTCTTACAATACCAAAGGAGCTTTGCCTCATCTCAGCAAGAAGGCATTAAGATAAGGAGCAGGCAGAAGGATTATCTAGCTGAAAGCCTAGGACCTCCCTTCCTAACAGAGACTAAACTGGGTCATAACTCTTTGCTGCCTAGCCCAGAGTAGTGCAGTACCTTTTGGAAGACATAACCCCCACTGGGCCCCCAGCCTACAATGGGGTCTGTGGATGGTTTGCCATTGATGTTTGGCTGGGAGTTGATGGTCAGGATTCCTCGTCTGTTAACCTTCTCCAGCTGCTCCTTCAGAAGGTTAGTTTCAGTGGCAAGAGGGTCATCATTCCAAGGCATACACGTAACCTACCATGAGGAGAAAGGATGGCTCACAATGGATGTAACAACCCTTTTGTTACCATCTAGATGTTGAACAAACTCAGAAGTGCCCTATTGGTCTCAAACACACCTACTTCGGGACAGAATTCCCAGGTTTGGTTCAAGGGGCAGGATATCCTCAATTCTTAAGAATGACTGCTGAAGTCTATTGGTACTGGTTCTGTCATACCATAGCAGCTTTCCTTTTATGTTGAGCCCTAGCTCTGGCTGTTGGATTTCCTTCAGCTGCTATCTCAGGACATCCTTTTGGATAGGGAAGTGCCAATTCTTGTTTAGAAGAACAATGTGGGACCAGGAGCAAGAGGAAATGCGCACTATTGTCTGTGGCACACTGACCATCCCCTCCTGAGCCGTCACTCACCTTGTGCCCATTCTTGTTGGGTTCTCCGGTGATATAACACGTGAACACCTCAAAGACGCTTTCCTCACCAGTCAGCTCTTCTCCCCACATCTTCAGAAGCTCCTCCCGGGGAGACTTGCTCTTCAGGTAGAAGAGGTAATAGTCCTTCAGTTCCCCAAAGGCTGGAGAGGAGGAGTTACCCCTGTAAGGGGACCAGACACAGGATTAACAGGCCACTGAGGAAGATGAGCTGATTTGGTGATGCAGGAAGACAGCCACCCAGGAAGAGAAGTATCCAGCAAAATCCACCTAGAGACCAAAAGCCTCAACATCTTGGTGCCGTTCTCCTCACTTCATTCAAATCCAAGCAACTGGGGACCACTTCATTAAGAAGCCACCTGTTCTGTCAAGCCCAAAGCGTGCCCAGATCACCCGCTAATGACAGACATCAACTGTGGAGCAGGCTTTCATACCACACTTCTATCTCACTGCCACTGCAGGCTGACAGCTTACCATCGGCCATTGGGGAAATCATCCCATTCTTGAGTTCGATAGATGTAACTCTTTGGCCTAGAGGCCCAGAAGATTGGCCGAACATCTTCAACTCTTCTCTTGGGGTGAGCACTGACTGCCCAGGGCAGAGGCCGCCTGCATGGGAGGAGCAGATGTTAACACAATTCCTCTGCAGACTTTCCACTAGAGGCCAGAAGCCCTTCCCTGGGAGAATTTTGCCTCTGGGGAGAGCAAGTAACAGGGGCTGAGAAGAGTACTATTTGTCAAGAAGTAGGACAGAAAACTCTTCCTTTATGGAAAATCTTCTCCCACCCAGTTCCCTCACAGGATGCTCAGTAGATGTCTATTAAATAGTTAAGTACAGGACTGACAACTGAAATTGGATGAGGTAAGGGAAAAGCACTGTGTGAAGCTATTTTTAACACGAAGAAAATACAGCTATCCGTTTTCCTTTGCTCCTCTTGTCTATGCCAAAGCCTGTGGACTCAGAGAAAAGTCCACATGCCCTTTATTAGCTGTAAAGAACCCTAGAAATCCACAGCAGGAGCTTACATAGCACCTAGTCTGTAAGAGGTGTTGTGACAGACCTCAAAAAACATGTTTCTTCCAAGTGGCAGCTCTAAGAGTTCAGGTTTTTAAAGTTCCAGAACAGGCTACTTTAAAGCCATTTGACTAAAACAAATTCTTCCTTCATCTGTCCCCTCTATTCCTCACAGCTTTTGTCAGACACCTGCAGGAAGGGTGAACTTCTAAATGCACAAAGGTGCTAAAAAAAAAAAACCAACAAAAGAACTACCAGCAGAGGAGCGGTGCTAACCCATCCATTGCTTGAGCCTTCATGAGATGGGATGGATGGATGTGAAAGAGGAACTAACAGAAGCCAGCATATTCTGCTCACCTGGGGTCCTCCGTCCATAGGCCCAGGCGCTTAAGGACTTCAGTAGTAGCCACTTCCCGATTGAGAGTGTAAAAATGGAGCCCATGCACCACGCCACTATCCAACAGCTCCCGGCACATGGACACTGCCTGCTCCACCCCAAAGTTCCGGATAGCTGCATCATTGTCCTTGATGGGTTCAATCACATCTTTGATTTCTTGAGGCACTTCCAACTTGGAGAGCTTCACCAGCTGGCGCAGGGAGTGGTAACCCTGGATGAGGATGCAGGGGATTTTCATTTTTCCAAGGCCCTTAACACAGGTACTTGATCTCGATTTTGTGGAGGGAGATTTAGAATTGGGGCTCCTGGATTCTACTCCGAGGCCCCATCTCTAGGATGGTAATGCAGTCCTGGTCACGTCACTTTAGGTGATTTCTTCCCATTTCTTTGCCTGAGCCTAGCATGCTGCCAGTGATGACTAACACCTTAGGACTGGTAGACCATTGTCTTTTATATCCCTTTTTGCCATATGGGCACAGAAAACGTTTTAGGCTTGTTATTACAGGACAAGGAGTTTAATTTGGCAAGCCATCTCCAGATTTATCACACGTTTAGCACTCTCACTTCCCAGAAATTTTGCGGAGGATATTTAGAGACCTCCCTCAGCTCCTGACCCACAAACACCTAACATCCTGGATCCTTATTCCCTCCCCAAACCATTATTACTGGATTTCACCTGTATGGGGAAGATGCCAGGAATAATGGGGCAGGTGATGCCAATGGCTTGGCAGTCCTTCATGAACTTGAGGAAGGTCTCTGATCGGAAGAAAAGCTGTGTAATGATGAAGTCTGCCCCAGCAAAGACTTTCTCCTTCAGGTACCTCAGGTCTGCCTCATAGCTCTCTGCTTCAGGATGACCCTTGGGGTAGCCTTTGGAGGGGAAAGGGAAAAAACAAGTAAAATCCTGGTGGTCAGGACAACATGCTAGAAATTAGAAAGTAGCCAATCTGATTGTGCTGTCACAGCCCAGGTCCACGGAGGAACTGCTGAGCTGATTTCCCTGTCTCAGGCCCTACTCCACACTCTGCAGTGAAAGACATTTACCTGCCACACAGATGTCAAAGTAATCATCAAATTCATTGCGAATGTGCTTAACCAGGTCAACAGCATAGTTGAAGCCATCTACTTCTTCCTCCCATTCCTCACCAACAGGATCTGAAAAGAGAACAAATGCACAGCTCTCTCCAACTATTTGCTGGGCTCAGATCTGCTAGTGCTCTAAAAACCTCCTGCTATCAAAAGGAAGACAAGATGAAACCTCCAAGTTTGCAGTTTTACCCATGGACTTTTGTCTACCCTTGAGCTGGAGGGAATGCTAACAAAGGGATCAAGAGAAATGCAGTCTCAACATTTAATTCCAACAGCAGAAGGAGCCTCTAAATCTTTATTTCTCCATTTTTACTCTGGAGTTGAACACAACGGCAATACAACCTCAGCCTTACACATCATAGGACAAAAGGATTCACCTCCACGTAATGCCATGATGTTCTTCAACCCGAGCCGCTTGGCCTTCTGTAGATGCCCTGTGATGTCATCCTTGGTCTGATTGCAGCATGTCATGTGCAGGATGGTCTCCAGGCCACAGTAGTTGACGGCAGTGTTGGCAATAATCATGGAAGAAGTTTCCTTGTCAGATCCTGGGTCCCCTGCGGGGTGCCACGTCACATCAATGAAGAGTGGACCACCTGCTCCCATGCGGTCAAACCTGTGGATTTTAGAGCTGTGTTAGCCTACCACGTAGCCAACTTCCCTCCCTTTGCCTTGGATATCTTGCTCATTGCTGGAATACCAGCAACAGACAGAGCTTGGATGACAGCAGTGTGAGAGACCAAGAAAAGTGTTGAACTAGGAGTTTAGCAAGTGGCCAACATAAATAAGGAAAGTCATCCTTTAAAGCTGTATGAGGAGGAGCTTACAATCTTTTTGAAGAAGAGACAACTTAAATGTTTTCTGTAGAATAAACTTCCTCCCAGCATGCTCTATGAGAGTGATATGTCTTCTGATAGACAGCAATGCAAGTCCCATTCCTTTTGGGATGGGAGACTATGCTGCAACTCCCTGTTCCCAGCTTTAACTGTAGAGGCCACAAATATCAAAAGGTGGATCAGATCTCTGTTGTGTTCCCAAGTGTGCCTAACAGAAGAAACAAAGGCTCCCCTAACTTGCCTCTCCTCTGCTCTGGGTTGCAACAGGCCCTTCTGTTTAAAGTAAACCTGGCACTGGCATACAGCAGTTACAAAGAGAGTTATGAAAGTCCCTCTTCTCCCCCAAGTGAGTACATGGTGGCTCCTGGGGCTCCCCACTGGGCTCCAGGATAACCTTTAGCTCTGGGGACACCTATCTCAAGAGGCTAAAACTGTAGTGCTCAGTAATAGAGGCACAAACCATAGTGGCTGGATGTTCCTGAAAATAAGTGGGAGTCTCTGTTCCAGAGACTTGGGCACACTGTCCATCAATAAATATTCTCTGCTTTTAATAGGTACTTTTCTGCTCTATTGTCACCCAGCACTGCTTCAGCCCCAGAGCATGACAGTGGAGTTGCTCCATCTTCACAGAGCATGGGAGAGGGGAAACAGTCTGGTCCCCTCAGTAACCCCATCATGACACTTAACTCTTCAGGGCTTCCAAGGAAGACAAGTTACCTGGTGTCCATTACCCTCCTCAGCAGGAAAGCACAGCCCCATTACCTGCTTCGTCACCTGGAAGGGGAGACAGAGCATGGGGCAGAGCCTGCCTCATTAGCTATTTCCCAGCCCTCCACCAAAGACACTTAATCTCTCCCCTCTCCCACCCTGCAGCCCTCACCTGGAGATGAGATTGACAGCAGCATTGGCTGTGCGTGGTGGGAAGAACTCCAAGGAGAACCACTTGTCTCCAGACTCCTGCCGTCGACGCATCTTCTCCCGCAGTCGTTCATGACGGTCAGCATCGAGGACCGGGGTGGAGCAGCGTGAGCTGTCCTTGGAGCTCTCACTCCCACTACTGCTGCCGCCATCAGACTTGGAGCTGGAACTGGCACTGCAGGTATGCTGGGTCTCATTGACCATGGTGAGCTCTCTGGAGGAGGGGAACAGAAGGAGCACGGTGGGTACAAGACAGGACACAGACCTCAGCAAGGAGCAGTTACTGCTGGGGTGGGCAGCAGATGATGAAAAGGAAGCCTATGCCAAGACCCAACATTAATCATCATCAAGGAGTCCCTCTTGCCAGCCTTGCTGTAAGCTGTAGTGGGGGATCTGGTGAAAACACAATAAAATGTGTGTTTAGATAGTGCTGACAGAAATAGCACAGCAGATGGCTTCATGCCACTTTGATGCAGCTCTTCTGTGCCTGCTGGGTCAAAGTTGGCTATCAAACGAGTCAGATCAACATCACGTTTGCCCTGACAACAACTTAGCAAGCCATGATACCCATGTGCATCAAGTGAGGGCCTCTTTGATATTATGGCCTCAGGCTGGACACGCCCGCAGACTTCCCCCCCCCCCCCCCCCCCCCC